TGAAAGAAGTTAGGTCAGATCTGATCTTCTTCTTCATAAAAAACTTAGCGCCTCAGACTCCTTAGCGACCGCGTTGCTCCGCTTTTCGCCGCCTCACTGTCATTATGTACGCAAAACGTGTAGAATGCTAAACAAACGACGCCTTGAGGCGATTTGCTGCCGCCTTGCTACGAGGCGTGCTCTGATACGCGCTTACGCATGCCTTTGAAAACACTGGTTTTGGCCGACGATCTTGGTGCTCCGGCCATGGCTAGATGTGTAACTGGTCGGAAAATGACTAGAGGAGGCCAGCGAACCACTTTTGAGCCCAGCCCCGGAGAGCCCAGCCTCATTTCGCCGTCGCGAGCTCCAAGAACCTTCGAGGGTTTCGAGTTTGTCGACACCTTTTTCGGCTGTTCCGACGGCCGTCGTTGCCGATCCAGGTATGGATTTCGATCCTCTCCTCATGCTATTGCTAATAGTATAGTTATTTGAGATCAATTTTAGATTTTGAGAGCGTGAAAACGTTGTCGTTTCACTCCCTACCTTGCATTCAGCTATTTAGTTGCAGCCACAGAACTAGAACACGTACATTTGTACCTGTCCTGCACAAGTTGTCCCAAAAAAGGAAAAAAAAGGAGTAAAGAGAACAAAAATGGAAGTAGATTCTCGAAATTAGATTTTGTTCTTTGTGTTGTACTTGCCTTTGGAATATTTGCCTTCTGTCCATCTTTTGGCATGTCATTATTCTTCAACAAAGGTTTCATTAGTATTATTAGACTTTCACATAAAGCCTATCTCATGCATGATGCTATCCAAGGAGCAAAAGTTGATTTACTGTCTTTTTTTGTTATATTTGAACCCACATGTTTATATCTGACCCAAAATGTTTTTTAAATTACAATTGTCAGGTAAGGGGAACTAGCTTGGGATTTTGATACGGGATACGAACCTCAACCAGTGTATTCGTGCTTCGTAGCTGAGGATGTTTCGACCACCACCAATATGAAAATTGAAGGTATGGGCAAAGTTGCGGGTTCTTGATCTTCTCCTTTTGAAGCAACATTTTTGTTTGGATCATTTGCAATCAATCGAACTCTTGATGCGAACTTGAATTAACATAAAGGTGTCAGAAACATTTCAAACAAAAATATCACACTTAACCAAGATTTCAGTCAAAGCCAATCAACTACAAACTAATTGAATAAATAAATAGAGTTATATAATATCAAAATGCCACTAAGAACAATAGAACAGTATGTCTCATCCACATTTGATTCGATAGGAGAAACGTTAATGAACATTAGCGTCTTGGCATTACCACCAAGTGAATCACTCATCAACATCGTCAATTTATCGTTCTTGTAGGGTATGTGTTGATTTCGTTCATAAAAAGCTTTGATAACATCTCCGAGTGCTGAAAGTGATTTATTAAAACTTTTAGCTTCTTTAAGTTCACTGCCTGAAGAGCGTGACTTTTTATTTCTTTCCGAACCAGCAAGATCCACGAAACTTAGCTACACATTAAAGGAAAGGCATTATGAGCATAACTTCACATGAAACACTAAACCATGCCTTAAGTGAATGCAAACTAACGTGCATGAACAAATATTCATTCATTTATTATGGAAAACATTGATATACCTTTCCTCTTCCAACTGATTGAAGTTGAAGGTTGGTACTTTCAATGAAAATTGAAAGTATGACATGAGATCTTGAACCTTCTGCATTCATTTGAGTTCCAGCTATATGTCTTTGTTCTAAGCCGCTTTGAATGACGTTTTTCATTTCATCATATGTTGAAATTGATAGAACCGTTGCATTTTCAACAAAAACCATACCCTAACATCACAAATGAAACATTGAGAGCGAACTTAAAAGAAGGTGATACTAATCAACAAATTAGGCCAGATACCAAAACGAAATATTTAAATAACGTAGAAATTTAAGGACCAGATATGCATAACAACTCAAAATATTCGCCAGTCTTATAAAAACCACATGGCCACTGGTGAATGTTTTGAGTTGTTATGCATATCTGGTCCTTAAATTTCTACGTTATTTAAATATTTCGTTTTGGTATCTGGCCTAATTTGTTGATTAGTATCACCTTCTTTTAAGTTCGCTCTCAATGTTTCATTTGTGATGTTAGGGTATGGTTTTTGTTGAAAATGCAACGGTTCTATCAATTTCAACATATGATGAAATGAAAAACGTCATTCAAAGCGGCTTAGAACAAAGACATATATCTGGAACTCAAATGAATGCAGAAGGTTCAAGATCTCATGTCATACTTTCAATTTTCATTGAAAGTACCAACCTTCAACTTCAATCAGTTGGAAGAGGAAAGGTATATCGATGTTTTCCATAATAAATGAATGAATATTTGTTCATGCACGTTAGTTTGCATTCACTTAAGGCATGGTTTAGTGTTTCATGTGAAGTTATGCTCATAATGCCTTTCCTTTAATGTGTAGCTAATTTTCGTGGATCTTGCTGGTTCGGAAAGAAATAAAAAGTCACGCTCTTCAAGCAGTGAACTTAAAGAAGCTAAAAGTTTTAATAAATCACTTTCAGCACTCGGAGATGTTATCAAAGCTTTTTCTGAACGAAATCAACACATACCCTACAAGAACGATAAATTGACGATGTTGATGAGTGATTCACTTGGTGGTAATGCCAAGACGCTAATGTTCATTAACGTTTCTCCTATCGAATCAAATGTGGATGAGACATACTGTTCTATTGTTCTTAGTGGCATTTTGATATTATATAACTCTATTTATTTATTCAATTAGTTTGTAGTTGATTGGCTTTGACTGAAATCTTGGTTAAGTGTGATATTTTTGTTTGAAATGTTTCTGACACCTTTATG